AAGTATGTTACAACATGGTTAAGAAACCACCGCTCTGCAACAGAAACAAGAAGACAAGTGAAACATAAGGAGCCTCAAAACAAACATGTCTGGAACATTTTATAGACACAGTTTTAACCTGCATAATACTTCTGTACTTACATGTAGTACTTGATACTTAAGCATGTTTTGTTGTACTGTTTTATAGATTCTACGTCTTTTCAATATAAAGCCAACTGTAGTACAGTTTGTTGTTCATTGATTCAAATGTAAGCAACAGAGAAATGAAGCAATGTTAAATATGCTTAAAAAAAAAAATGGTCAATTACATTGCACTTACTGGCGTGCTTATTTCTAAGCACAGTATACCCACTACAATAATGTAGATTACACCACTGGTTGTACCTACACTTCTTTTTCATATTCCATCTACTCCTTCTTCTTCTGGGCAGAGCATTTGGTGTTTTAACATGACGCCGACCGTTAAAGGTGGACGGGGGCCAAATATCACAGAATGGGGTGCAGCACAGTTAACCCTTCAGCTTTTGACTGACAGAGGACAAAAGTTGTTCATTTTGTTTTTCCGACAAGTCATCAACATTTTCATCTAGTCTTAGTTTAGACAAGGTAAACTCACTGTCTCATCATTTTTAAGTTACCTAAGAGCAATATTTATTTTGTCATCGTCTCGATATTGTTGTGTAAAAAAGCTTTGTCAACGAAATGCTTTCATCACCTTCATAGCTGACCCAAACAACACAGAACCAAAGGGAAAGCAGATGGATGTAAAGAACAGCAACTGATGCCATACCTAGAACAATAGGTAACAATTTTGAAGTTAATAGTATTTAGAAAAAGGTGCTTTTTTTCCGCAATTCAAACCTTGTTGCTATGGGGACATGTCGCACAATGAGAACAGAAAAAGAAAATTAGGAAGATTGTCCTTGAGGCCCACTATTCACCAGAAGATATGCTGAATGCCATTGCAGGATAAATTGCATTCCTATTTGCTGCATTCAGTTGAGCTAGTTTGTCTTAGGAAGAAGGGGTTTACACTCCTGTATAACCTCATAGCAGGCTTCATGATAAATGTTCTTTACCAGTAACTTCATTAATAAATTTTCCAGGATCGTCACTTAATTCCCCAGTCTCAAATCCTTTTACTATTCTTTTACATGTTCTCGTGAAAGACTGCAGGTCTGAAGCAAAGTCTGAAAGTTCTCCCTGTTAACAGATGTGCTTTTCTGATAACCAGCCCATCCATTCAGCACTAGATGACCTTATCTCTCAAATGAGCCAGTGCAATGAGAGGGAGGAAGCTATTTGGCAAAGGAGGGGGGTGGAATGACAGGCTCATGGACACTGCTTGCATGCCCACCATTCTTCAGTTCACTCTGTATAGCCAACAGTGAGGTGCCTCTCTTTCTCTTCCATGTCTTTCACCGAGAACAACAGCACTTTTACATGCCTCTGTCCCTTTAGTTTGCCGCATTATAAAAGGACTTAAGCATTTTAAGGAATTAGGGCGCTCTTTTCATCTTCATGAAATGCAGTTGTTCTCAGGCTTGGTTTGGTTATAAAATGAATTAAAATAAGTGTTACTTGTTCCAATGTCATACAATTCTATAATTTAGAAAGAACAAAAGTGAAAAAAGTCTGTAGGGATCATATAGGGTGTATTTGACCAAAGAGATTTCAGTTTGTAATCAGGACTGGCGATAAAGCCATAATTATTTAGATGTCATTTAGCATAAATCAAGAACGGGATATCACAAAGGCAGAACTTACAACCCAAAAGAGGTCAAGAACAGATACGGGTTCTGCCATCTTACATAATCAATTCAGTTTAGTTCACCAAAGTTTTTTTTTACATTCATACCAATCGAATACCATCTTTAAACGTTTATGTAGAACTACTTCATAAAATTTTAAACCACCATCCAAATGCAAAGCTAGTCATACAACTGATCACTGTTCATTAAACAAGGAACTACAGCAAGGCATGTAGTGCATTAGCGTTATGATGTGTTCAAAACCCAAATGTGATTCAAGTTGTTTTTGACGCCGTTTTTGGTTGCTGCCGCTTGCTTGACATTTCAACAGAAATTTGCATGGTGGATAAAAAATGCTCCAGTCCTTTCACTTCACTGCCTCAGCACATAGAATGATCTTCTACCCGATCGTTTCAACTAAGCATGGCTTCATTCATTATGAAAAGTTGAATAGCAGCTCAGACATCGAAGTTCCTGGATCCACCAGCGCCTCCAGAGTGGGAGTGTAGGAAAAAAATCGATTTGGATTTTTGGGTGCAGATATAATTTTGATTTTTCAGCTTAAATATTGCTTCTTTTTTTTTCTACTTTTTTCCCTAAAGCAATTGGGGGAAAATGCTACTTTTGAACTGCCGATCCGTTAGATGGAGCCATGAAGCCCTTTTGCTGTTCAGGTGCAGTCACAATATGATGCAATATATTGTGATATTGCAATATTGCTAATATATCGTGTCTTAACCCAAGTATCGTGATGCGTATCGTATTGCAACACCCTTGCCAACACTCACCCCTAATCCAGAGATGCTCCAAATTCAGGTAGAGACCAGGAGGTACAACTGGATCACTGTCGCTTCCTGTGATATTTCCATCTTAGCAGGACCCAAAGCTGTTATGCGTCTTTGAGGGAGGATCGCCTGAACAACAGTTATAAGTGTACTACTTTCCTGGAGCTCAGACAGGAGCAGCCAGAGAGTAAAATGAGAGGCAATGCACAAAGAGAACCCAAGAGGTGGCCGGCAGTACCCTGGAGCTAAGGGAAGACAGCATGACAGCACACCGAACCATCGCACAGAAAGACCAACTGAGGTTATGGTGGGACCAGTTCTAAGTGGGTGTCTCTACACTCTCACTTTACTGTAATCATCCACAGTCATTTGCATCACTGTGCTCAGAAACATGCCTCTACACAGTGATAACACGTAAATGAATTGCTCCAGTTGCAATGTAAAACCAAAGTGTCTGATACAAAATCAATTACTAGAAATGCAAATATTTTACAGATGTTTAGTTGATTAATTTAATAACTAATAGTTTTTTTTGTAAAGGTTGAGTTATAGTTGGGCTATGGGGTGTCACATGGCACTGCGCTAGCCAGCACGCAAGCCTGAACAAGTGTTATAGATGTTCATACTGATACTGATAGCAGTGGAAACGTAAAAACAGAAAGAAGAAAAGGTAACCGTAAGCATGCTTACATGATCAAAAACATTGCTTCTCTTCAACCTGGTTTCATACTAAAAGGACGAATAAAAAAAGCTACCAAAACATTAAACATTAATATGTATAATTTAATTATCGTATTAGCCATATAAATTGCATGTATGTTTCTCCCCTATTTTCTTGATGAAGTGATTCTTTTGTGTGTGAAATCTTTGCACCCCATTGATTCTAAATGAAGTGAGGAAAGTTACTTTTGGCAAATTTTACTGGATGAATGAATTGTCTCAGAAATTATTCGGATAAATGCTAATATTGTCATTCATTTTAAATCCAAAGTGTTCCCACCCTTCAGCTCTTGCATTTGACTTTGGGACCAAATCTTTTCCTGCTTTTTTAAATCTTGACTGGTTTGCTACTCCTCAGTCACATGGCTCTCATGCTACACTCACTGCTAGAAGAAAACAAAAGGGGAGCGGTGGGTGTGACCTTTATCATTCAGAGTCTTTAGCAGAAAGGGAGGAGACATAAGGAAAACAAACAAGCATGCAACAGAAACTTCTGACCTCATCAGATTAATTGATTTATTAATTGTGACAGGCCTAGGTGCATGACTATGCTTTGCGAGACTTGCTTCAATATTGATGTGCAAACCCATGCAGCCTGTTCAAGCATAAAGGTATATTAAATAACCTACATTTGCAAACAAGACAACAGCATTAAAAGATTCTGGCATTCTTTGGACTGAGTATTGAGATAGAAGAACACCTTCAATTTGACATGTGAGCATCATGAACTACTTTTAACCTTTCAACTCAACCTATCTACTAATTCCAGTAGATATTCAGATTAATTAAAATTATTCTTAGCAATAAGGGCACGAAAACCACGAATAAACTGAACTGATATTGAGTTTGGTCAGTTTGTGTATAAAACTTAAAAATGACAGTGGATTATTGTTATGGAGGATATTATTATAATTTATTAGTTAAGTCATTTCAGAGCAAAGAAAATAATTTTTTGTATTATAATAGAAAAAATCTTTAACCAGCATAGGTCCTGTTTGATTTGCAGGAAAGAGAAGTGGGGAAATGCAGCTTCTCTTCTCTAGGAGGAAGCAGGGAGGGGAAAGAAATCATAGACTTCCTAGAGACACTATATACTGACAATATAAAGATAAGTATCTAAGGTGTGTTACATAAGCAGGAAATATTTAGTGGCACTGTAGATGCATTAATCATTAACTCAGGGACCTGGGTTCCAGACAAATACAAAAGACTTGCTGGTGAGAGAGAGTGGAGGCTTTAGGTGGGTTTTTTTAATTTCTTGTGTTTATTGTTAAACAAAACACGTGCTCTGAGAAGTGGGAATCACAGCCCTGCTCTGCACCAGGAACTTCTGGGAAAACTCCGCAGGACTTTGGCATGAACTCAAAAAACAAAAAAACAATAATAACCCTTTTATGGAGGTTTTTGAATGCTTTGTTACTGATTTTGTAGTTCTTTTTTAACCAAGGCTCTGCTTTAAATGCAACATATATTATCCCTGAGTTTCTAATAAAGTTTAAAAAAAATTGACCAAATTGATTACAAATGGTTTAGTTGTTGACAGATAAGAATAGCCCATATATTCTTATGTTTGGTAATTACAGTGTTATAACAAGTACTACTTTGAAATCTGTGAGCTTTGTATAATATTTACACCAGAAAGGGAAAAAAAAAACACGCAGTCTGAACAACAAACAGGTAAACACAAGAGTTGGCCTTTCAGCACAGCTCTGGGAAAAGTTACCAAGCTTCCCAAAACACTCACCTGCGACACCAAGGGAATAAGCGTCTGCTCCACGGAGCGAGTTTTGATCTCCAGGCCGGAATCAAAGTTACTGCTGCCGCACGGAGATGAAGCCATTCCCGCCGAGCTTTTCTTCTTTCTCTCCCCCTTCTCTCTCTCTCCCCCTCTGGCTCGCTAACACTCAATCACGACGCACGGAAAGGACACTAAATGAGTTCCCTCTTTCTTTTTCTCTCTGCTGTTTAAAGCAGCTGCAAACTGCCTGCCGGAGAACTCGAGATATAAACACCGAGGTTATTTTTTGTTCACACTGTCGGTAATTGAGCGGTTCTCCTGACGCGCACGCTGTTTTTAATCCCCCTCCGGTGGTTGCGCCGCTGCGCCCGCTAATGTCCGTGTAGTTTAGTGCGTTACGGCAGGGAGCGGACTGCAGCACACCACTGTGGGCAGCCACATTCACACAGAGGCGCGCATTGATTTATACCCTCTAACTTCAGATTATTCACATTAATCATGCTTTTTTTCTCTTCAGACGTGCTTACATAACCAAGAAACAAACAGCATATCATTTATTTTAAGTTCAGTGTTAAATGATCTAAATATTTTCCAAGTTTAAAATTCCAAATATACTTTATGAATACAAAAAAAATTCACCTATCCTAAGGCAAGGCAAGGCAAGGTAAATTTATTTGTATAGCACAATTTAGTACAAAGACAATGCAAAGTGCTTTAAAAGATTAAAATATAGGAAAATAAAACAGAATCAAAGCAAGTAGGGGAAAAAAAGCTACTTCCAGACAATTTTCTAATTAATTCTCATAGTTTTAGGCTAAAAGTGGAATTTGAATGTTAGACATAAGCAGTAGGCGTGGGTAATTTAGATATATGTGCATGTTTCAAATATTTATTTTTATTTTTAGCGATTTTGTGGACCTCTCCTAAAGCTCTGTTTTGATGCAAAAAATCACTACTGTCTGCAAAGGGTAAAAAAATAAATACATAATTTCTCCCTATCAGCTGCAACAATTAAATACTGCTGTGAGAAACCCCTCATACACTGTAAAATTCAATTAGTCATAATTACTTTGAAAAGGATGCAAACTGGTTGCACTTAAAACAAAAAAAAGTATAGAGAACTATGTGTTTTAAGTTGTACTAACTATTGCATCCTTTGTAGAGTAGACTTGCATATATGTTTAAGCCACTAAAACAATCATGTAATGTGAACTTGATAACTTACTTTAGATTCACTTTTGACTTAGTAAAAAATACTCACGATTATAAATTTAATTTACTAATTTACTGCAAGTGAAATTTCTCAGTTTAGTCCATATAACTTTCTTATAACAGATGAGCTCATTCAGTATGTATAAGTTTAAAGCAGGAGTGTGACTTAAATGCTTCGTCCCAATGTGGAAAAACATCTCCTGCTTGACTTCAAAGTGAAGAAGCTGGGATTCCTGATGCTTATTGCTGCATTTTCAAGAGTGCAACACAATGAAAAAGAAGCTTTCCAAGAAAAGTTTGTTGGTAGATGAGTCTGAAGTATTTGTCCTTTTGCTAAAATCCTCCCCTAGCACACAAATCTGAACTAGCTCCCTAAGAAACATACCTACATATGCGATAGGGATTGATTGTTGAGGATGTGAACAGAGAAACTGCCCCACGCATGTTATCTTGCGGGATTATTTTGTGTCTCTATAGTGACTTTTTTCATGTATTTAAATTACAGTGACTAAACGGAAAAATCATTAAGACATTCAGCATTTCTAATCAATTCATGCCTATAGAATATATTCCTTACGGTACATTCAAATGGATATTGCCTTTAATTTACTCTGATTCCTTGATGTTTTTTTCTGATTTGGCCAAAATCTTATCCAGATAATCATTTATGGAGCGAAACATAAAATACAAATAATTTTTAGCATCACAAAGGGCTTCTAAATTCTAACATTGTGTAGGTCTAAAATAAATGCACCACTTTGGACACTTTCTAAGTTAAAAGGCTGTGCAAATCCTATTTATTCAAATCTTAGTTTTAGATTTGACCACATAGCAAAGGAGAAACAACCAACACACTTAGATGCCATTCCTTCCCAGATAGAGCTCTGATTTCAGTGAAAAATCTTTTGTTTTATGAAGTTTTTTGACTTGAGATACAGTTCGTTTACCACCAGAACAGCGTGGAAGTTAGAGACATGACACTTGACTTGTTTTAATCTCTGAAGTTTTAATGAGAATTCTGTTGTTTCAGTATTTGATGCGTTTGCTTACATCTTCTGCTTGATGCATCAGCAGTTTTCTGCTTGTATATATCAAAGAGTCAAAGGTTTGACTGCGGTTTGATGTGAATAACTCTGTTTATTACTTAGATCTCTTAAAAATATTTTGTACCTCACCTGTCATTCCTTAATATCCATCCATCCATCCATCCAGTATACCCCCATTGTCTTCTGCTATTATGGTTGCGTGGTTAAGGTAACAATGCCAGGAGCAAAATCTCTTTTCCAATGAAATAATCTGCAGAAGGTATTTATAATAAATAGTCCTTTCAATGGGTTCTGGATTTACTGTGGTGTCTTCAATGAGGAAGTTTCTTATTCGAGTTTCCAAACTAAGACTAAAGGGTAAATAAAGAACTTTGCTTTTTGCTTCAGCTGTTCTTCGTTTCAACAGACAACAGCAGCACCCACATTGCTGCATACAGGGCTGTGCTGTTAATACATCTTCCTTTTCTTCCTACTGTAGTATAACTTATCAGTAAGATAGGATGATACCTGAACTATTCCACTTAGGCCACTGATCAAAGATTTGATGGCAGAATAATTGGAAAAGTTATGCATTATCAAGAGACCTCCCCACCACCCCCCAATAATTTCATTATCTATCTTTGTGGCCATATGACTCCATTACAGTTGTGTTTAGGCTGAAGACATACACAACAAAGCTTTTGATTCCAACTGATTTACCTCTTATCTTCTTTTGTGTCACCATTGACATGTATTCATGGCATGAATTAGTTTAACCTTTTTCCAACTTTACAAGCAAAGTCACTGGGTGACAGCTTGTGAGTAATATTCCAATGTGCAAACACAGCAGATGGCAAAGAGCACATATGGTTTGAAAGCACTACGAGACTGCGCCTGGTGGTATCCTTTGCTGCCCAGCTTATAGAGGTGGGCTTATGTGTCAGTAGTGAGACGCAGTCATCACGTCATTCTCGGACCAAACCAGTATTTATGTAAAACCACACACTTAAGCTGTAGTTTAACCATGTTTACAGTGGTTTCACTCCAGTAATACAAAGATGTTTGCACACATACAGTGCATTATCATAAAGGTATGTAAGCAATTCAGTGAACAAGGGTGTGCTTAGTTGTGATGAATGACTCTACTACGACTACTTCTAGATGATATCTGGGTGTTTTTTTTTATTATCTACGCTCAGACTCTGTACCAAATGATAAGCTGATAGCAAACCTAACTTTAGCTACTTCAGCTGCGCTGTATTAACTTGTGCTGGCATGAGTGGCTCTGGTCAGAGTAGATAAGTAGAAGTGGTAGACTGATAAGAAATGTGATGATTCTTGAACACTGCTGCAGAAAATAGTTTACTTAAGTACCTGGCAAGCTTCTTCTGCAGCCTCAGACTCGCGGTGTTTTCATTGGAGGAAACAGACTTGTTTTTCTTATGAGTGTCTAATTCACTCTGCAGTTTACAACATTTGCTCCTCAGTCTGTAATCTGCTGTAGGCACTCAGTATTTCGAATGTTTACCTCAAACTCCACAGAAGCGCGCCAGTCCCTTCTCTGTATTCTCATCCACACAGTCCAAGGGTATTACTCATTAAGTAAGAGCTGCTTATGCATGATGTGACTGTGTTGCTAACAGCTGCTACAGTCTCTTTCTTTCTGTGTGCTTAGAAGTGCTGACTTCCTCTTCTCTATTGATCATCCCTTTTTTTGTACCACTCCTGGGATGGGAGCTGCTGCGCCTAAGGAGATAGTTATTTTGAATATTTGGAGATGTGAATTAAGTCCTCCTCAGTTCCATATTGGATAGGCAGATTAAAATTTGGAATACAAAATGGCACACTTTAAGTAGCTGAAATCTGAGAGAAAAATAGAGCAGTCTATTAAATTGGATTTTAATGTGCATACAGATTAGATTTTCAGCCAAAAGATTGGGATGAATGTTATTAAAAATGCTTTATATGAACTGTTCCCTATCTAGGGGATACATTAAACAACTTCCCATATAAAATGATCAGAGTTGGGTAAATTTGTTTAAGATTTGATCTAATGAGTAGAATCACAATTATACAACTGACTAATATAGTTACAAATGATGAAACTAATATTTGATTTCTTTGGCCTTCAACAAGCCTCTCGCATGATTTTCCATAAAGAAATGAGGGAGTTTGTCGGAGCTGTTGGGACTTTGGAAATATGATTGTTTGCTGTTTGCTGGTGTATCCATTCCAACAACAGTTTTCAGTGTTTTTCAGATTCTTGGAATATGACCAAGTTTAAATTGGCCATATTTCAACCATCTGTTGTTTTAAGGAACATGTTAAGAAACTGAGAGTTGTCAAAATCTTTATTTTTCATCCATCCAATGAAAATAAGTAGCATTGTCAGGAAAACAGTCCTCGATCATGATGCTGCTTCTACCATGTTTAACAGTGGATAACATTTTCTTAGAATTTAAATGCCTCAATTTGAATCCTTCAAATATGTCACTTATTAATGTGGTAAAACTGCTTCATCTTTGTCTTACCATAAATCACTTCTCCAAAAGCCACATGTTTTTAGCTTATAGGCAACAACAAATTGTAGCAGTGTTTTTTTTCTTGGTTAAAGCTTTTTGAATCCATGGGGATATAAATCTTCCCTGACTGTGGAGGTTAACACTGGTATCTTTCACTTCATGAAAAGCGATAGATTTGGTCCAGGCTTCTAAGTTCCAAACTTCTTCTACCTGGGAGTGGTTTCATTTGATGGATGATGATGATGATTTGGCAGATAATAAAAGCTTCAAAAAAGAGACATTTTGAGCTGACTAGGCACTTCATTAGTATGTTTAGAGGTGTGAAAGGGTGGCTTGCAAACATAGGAAAATTGTATCAAGTGGCAGGCATGGATGTGATTGCATCATGCTGATGGTGTAAACATAACATAAAAAAGAAAAAAATGAAATGATGCTTTCTCCAAATTTTCAAACATCAATTAAAATTGGCTACTGGATGAAACTTAGACACAACTTGGTGTTATAAACCGGCAACAAAGCCGAACACAATTTGAAACTAATGCTAGAAGGAATATAACAGGTCAAGATTTATTTCTGGAGTTATTCAACCCTTATTATTTGCACTGTATTCATTATTATTTGCACCTGTA